TTTTTTGGTCTCTTTGTGCTGTGCTACTCAGAAAACTATGTAGTTTTCTTTAGACCTACTTTCATTTCCCTTAGTATTTCTTCATCTTTGTGTAATCTGCTGTTTAACTTGCCTATTAAATTTATGATTTTGATTATTATAGTTTTCATTTTTAGAGGTTCTATTTGTATCATTATTAGAAGTTATTTAGTCACTTTTCAACATCTCTTTTTCTTTAGTCAAACTGTTATTACCCTCTTTTATTTCTTGTTTAAACAAACCTATTTTGTATCTGGTAATTTCAACATATTCAGATTTCATTTCATAGTTTATTATATCTGTGGTCCCTTGCTCATGGTGACTTATTTCCTTGTATGTTTAAATCACAAGCCAAAGTTACTTGGGACTTTATCTGTGAGAATTTTTTGAAGCCTAGTTTTAAAACATATTCCTGTACTTTTGCCGGGTGCATGAAGTCATTATCAACCTGGGATCCCTTGTAATAAAAGTGTGAGCCTTGATTATTTTGAAATATACCTTTCAGGTATTTTCCTGGACATGTACAAATCTGTGTTTATTTAAAAAAAAAAAAGTCATATACATACTGTTCTGTATCTTGCTTTATTTTATTTAGTATTTAAAAAGACATTCTTCTATAGCTCTAACTCATTCCTTTTGATGACTATGTTATATATAGTCATTTGGTGTTATCTTTTAATTCTATTTTTCCGTGAACTTTTTGAAGTACCCTTGTGTATATAGAAATTTAACCAATTTCCCATTGATGGACTTGTAGGTATCTACCTACTTTTTGATCTTGAATCTGCTTTCAAATATTGCTGATCCTCATTGGCAAAGTGAAGGTTGTGCTGTATATTTTCCATCTCCCTATGCTTCCCCTCTTACGCTTTTCAAGGGGTATTAGTGGGGTTCTACCAAGAGCTCTCCTATGTACTTTTCAGGGTGCTAGCATGTAATGTTCTTAAGAGGGAAGAGTTGGTAGTAAACCATGATGTAATTCTTTAGTCTGGTGCTATCTACGTTTTACTATAGAGAAATACTTAAAAGATGTTTTTGTTTGTTTTTTACATGTGGTATCCTGGAGGAGAGTATTTGTGTGTTGTATTAAAGGTAGCATCCAGATTGTAGAGTTGAGAAATGAATGAGTTTGAGAAAATGGAGCTCTTTCCCACACACTTGACTATGAGAAGGCAGGGGAGAAAGAGAGGCATTTCTTGGGATTTTACTTTTTATTGCTGTTAAACCTTTTGAAAGAAGTTAAAATTGGATATCTATGTTATGTAATTTCTTCTTGATCTTTCTAGCCTCCACCAGGCAGTGTGAAAATGCCTAATGTACCCAATACACAACCAGCAATAATGAAACCAACAGAGGAACATCCAGCTTATACACAGATTGCGAAGGTTAGTTCATGTTAGCTGTGTAAATCCGTATTAGATATTACAATATCAACGACATTTGCTTTCAGAGCAAAATAGTTCTTGATACCGTTGCACTCCTTATTGTTTAATTTTTAACTCTTTTAAGTCTGTATTAGCTATCTTGTTACCCTGCAAATACTCATACCTCTTTGTCAGCTTATATTTACTTTATTCCATTATTAGAAATTATTGAAGTCATATATGATCTTGGTATTCCAGTTTATTTAGTGACATTTTTATGTCTATGGTGGTCTCACTTTTCAATGTATAATACCATTAGAGTAACAATGACAGAATAATAGATATTACTGGGAGAGAGTTACAATGGCTAAGCAACGGACAGTGGTAGGAAGTAGAAGGTGGCAAAAGTCTGAGAAAAAAGGAGATGGATAAGGTGCCTGATACAATGTAAGGACAAGTGGAGTTATAAACCAGAATTTCTTAACC